AATGATGGTGAGCATTTTTGCACATACTTGTTGGCCATTTCTATATTCTTTTTGGAGACAAACCTACTTACGTCCTTTGCCCATTTTTCAATTGGCTTGTTTGTCTTTTTATTATTGATTTATAGGAGTTCTTTATACATACTCTAGATTAAAATTCCTTCTCATATATATGATTTGCAATTTTTTCCTCCTATTCTGTGGGTTGTCTTTTGTTTCTAATGGTGTTCTGGAAGCCCCAAAATTTTAAATTTTGATGATGTCTACCGTATCTATTTTTTTCTTTTGTTGTTTGTTGCTTTTGATGTCATATCCTAAAAAAAAAACGCTGCCTGATCCAAGGTCTTGAAGATTTACACCTATGTTTCCTTCTAAGAGTTTTATAGTTTTAACGATTACAGTTAGGTCTTTGACTCCTTTGGAGTTAATTTCCACGTGTTAGTGTGAAGTAGGGATTCGGTTTCTTCCTTTTTCTTTTTTTGATATGGATATCCAATTGCCTCAGCGTGATTTCTGAAAACACAATTCCTTCCCCGTTTGAATTGTCCTGGCGCCTTGATCAAAAATCACTTGATCGTAAACATGAGAGTTTGTTTCTGGACTCTCAATTGTATTCTGTTCATCTATAAATCTATCTGCAGCTTTGTGGTAAGTTTTGAAATCAGGGAGTTTGAGTCCCCCAGCTTTGTTCTCCTCTTTCAAGATTGTTTTGGCTATTCTGGGTCCCTTGAATGTCCTATTCTCAGGCATTTTTTGTTGCTGGAATGAGCTCTCTTTTCTGTTTGGTCACTGCTGTGTTTAGAAAACTATTGAATCTCATGTTTATTTTTGTGTCCAGCTATTTTACTGTAATCTCTCATGAGTTCTAAACATTCCTTCTTGGCTAGGGTTTCTCAGGTAGACAATCATATCTTTTACAAGTAATGGTAAGTTTGACTCTTTCCAAATTTACGTCTCATTTATTTTTCTTCTCTTATTGTTTCCCCTTGTATTTCAGAATATGTCACATTATTCACAGTGTGACATCCTTGTTTTGTTTCTTCTTTTCACGGAAATGCCTCTGCTATTAAGGACTATATTATCTATTCCAGGTCATCACTAGGTATCACCTTGTTCTCTTGACTTGAGATCAATACATTTACCATCCTGACAAAGCCTTTTTATTCCCAGTCACTAATAATTTTCATCAGGGTACCTCTTATTAGGGTAATTATATGGTGTTTCTCCCATGTCCTATTCATATGATGAACAACATTAATAAACTTTTAACTTTGACCCGCCCCCTCCTCCCTTTCCGTAAACTCTGTCTCCTGAGCCAGTGGGAACAAATTAGCTCACATTAACAGGAATAACTCTGGTCTCCCTGGTGCAGCTCCCACCTGTATAATATAGAACAGATGTCACAAACTGGAAGTCAGAAGGTCACGTCTCGGTTGGTCTGCAAGGGGATTTAAAATACTGTTTTGAATTAGTTTCCAGTGTTTAAAAATCAGGAGATTTCGGATTAAGAGTTCTAATTTTTGGCTTCTCCTTACAAATTATAAAAGCTGACCACATCAGTCCTGCATTCCCACAAGGTCACAGTGAGCTGAAGCTGCACCCTCTGAGGGGTGGGGGGCGGGCTTTAGAGGTCTCCTCATTTGCATCCTTTCCACACCCTCTTGTCTCCATACTCTGCTGTTCTCAGACATCAAGGTCAAGGGTCAGTTGCCAGTTTTTGTATTTGTGCAGCTGTTTTTCTTATGGAATTAGGTGAAAGGGAAGTATGTTTTGTAATCATGTCTCTAGCAAGTGTGGGAAAAGAAAGAAGCCAAGAGGCAGAGGTGCTTCAGAAGCGATGGGAGTGTGAGTACTTCTCAGTGGACAAAGAATATTCCTACCTGTTTAACACACCACGTGGGCCTGTGGATGATGTGGGAGAGGGGCAGGGACACGTGAAACATTATTATCCTTCTGAAAGTCCGAACCATACAAAAAGCACTCGGAGAACTGCTTTTCTCACACCCTCTCTATCCCCATCCTTGTTTCCCCATTCTTTCCACCCTATTCCCACCCACCCTCTGTGGTAACCAACCATATTCATGTCTTGTTCATCCTTCCTGGATGTCTTTTTGCACAAACAGCAGATACCTGCAGGTATTTCCAAATCCTCTTCTCTCTTACTCCACTCTTTACTGCAGTATTTTTTTTTCAAGTATAGTACAATTTTGTCCTTTCAAGCTAGATAGAAGTCGTCCATGTAACTATCAGGGGATGGAGCCTCCTTCCCAACGTTTGATGTCATCGGTCTTAATTTTAGCTATTCTAATTGCTGTAAAGTGTTAACTCCTGGCTTTAATTTGCATTTCCCCAACGATTTACGACCCTGGGCACCTTTTCATGTACTTATTGGCCATTCATATGTCTTCTTCTTTTGTGAAGTGTGTGTTCAAGTCTTTTGCTCATTTTAAAATTAGACTGCCTTTTTTTATTCTTGAGTTGTAGGAGTTCTTTACATGTTCCAGATATGTTACTTGTACAGTGAGGTTTCTAGTGTTGAATCTTGGTAGACAGTAAAACTGAGAGAGAGAAGGCAAGCGAAGGAGTTTGGGAGAAGATGAGGAATTCACTTTAGGACAGGGAGTGATGAAGGTGCCTTTGGATTATCCAGATAATATTCAGTAAGCACTTGGAATTCTAGATTCAGAGCTCAAGAGAGAAGTCTGGGCCAGGGATTTGGAAGGGATCGGTCCGACAGGGATGGATGAAATTGCCCAGAAGAACAGAAGCAGCCTTATAGGAAACCTCATGTATTACAATGTTTCAGAAAGAAGAAAAGGAAGCCAGAAAAGTTGCTCAGAGGTGGAGGAGAAGACAAGGGGGGAATTTTCAAGGAAGGGTAGCATCAAATGTTGCAGTGAGGTTAAGAAAATGAGATGACTGGATGTGTCATTTGGAGTTTCCTTGGTGACTTTTTCAGAGCTCTGAGGAATAAATGTCAGATGAGGAAATGGAGACAGGGGTAGGCTCCTCTTTGAAACCATCAGGCAATGAAAGGAGGGGAGAGGATACAAACATATATTTTTAATCGAAGCAACAACAGAGCTATATACATGATCAGTTGCCACATGAGTGACAGGCATCTTGAGTCCCACCAGCTGCTCTGGGGAAGTTGGAAGTAGAAAAGGGGGAAGAATGCGCCTGGGAAGCTGTAGTTCTAAGCTCTGGCCAACAGGTGTCAGGTGCTGATCAGATCTGTTGGTTAATGACCTGCCCTCTTGGGACACGGGGGAGACAGTTGCAGCTGAGTGGGAGGGTGGGGGGATACCACGAAAGCTCAACATCTGGGTCACACCTGCTGGTGGAGAAAGAGAATGCCCACCTCTGAGAGGATGCGAGATGGGGCCGAGTGGGCTTCACGGGATGCCCAGCTTCCTGGCAGTGAACTCTTAATGGGCAATTCTTGTTTCAGCTTTCCTCCGTCTTCAGTTTTAGGAACACCAAGGGCATGTTAGAAGTCAAGGATACCATAACGTCTCCAGCCCTTTCTTTAGCTTTCAAAGTGCTCTTAGAATCCACCACGCCACTCCGGCACACACACTCATTCCTGCTACTCAGTTCCAGGGCGGTTCTACCCCTTCCTCCCTCCCTGGCCACTTCCGGGCTGTCTTCATCTGCCCCCTTTCTCCTTTTTGTGGTGGGAAGTTAAGGAATGGGGAGACCAGAGTCCTTGCCCACCCTTCTCAACATATATGACTGCGGGCATGCCTTCTCACAGGCTTTGTGGCTCTGGTTCCTCATCTGTAAAACTGTGGGTGCGGGGGTCCGGGTGGCAGACGAGGAGTAATAGTACTGGACGGTTCTGAGCGCCTCCCATCTCTAACTATAGGCTGGAACCAGTTCTCCGTGTTCACCCAAGGGTACTTTCTGTTTTTACGCCTTTGGGGAAGTTGCTTTTTTCTTGGTATCTGGCGAGTGAGGAAAAGAAAAATCATTGGCGTTCATGTCTCTCAAAGCCTCAGGTAGGGCTGTGGCTTTCAACCAACAATAACGGCCGACCTTGCGGCCGATTTTAAAGGCCTCTAACAGATACTGTGACACAGAGTCCCATCGAGAGTGGAGGTGGGAATGCCAGCTTTCCCCTGTTAACTCGGAAGTAAACCGCTGTTCTTTCGTTGCAAGGGCCGCCCGCACGGTAGCCAACCTTCTTGCTTCCACTTCGTAGTGAGGAAACGGAGGCACAGGGAAATGCTGCGCCTTCCGGGACGCCGGGAAGGCTTCGCCCAGCTCTGGGTGAAGCGGCATCGGCCGCGTGGCCCTTGCGGGGAAAGGCGGCGGCGAGCAGGGGCCTCGACTCCGGACACGCCCCCGCCCCGCCCTGGGGAGCTGAGGAGAGGCTGAGCCACAGCCGCCGGTGACGCCAGGTGGGAAGTCAGGCCAGAGGCTGGAGCAGCAGGGCCGAAAGCCTGGATTGGCCGGTATTTCTAGGAAGGTTTCCGCCGAAGGGTGAGGGTCCCGGCGCCCGTCTGCACAGCAGGTCTGTAGGCATCTTAAAGGTTAAGAGCACCCAAAGAAAATAGAAGTAGGAGGAGGAAGTGGGGCGCTGGGTCGCAGTGAGAGAAGGAAGCAGCTAGTCGGAGCTTCCCCTTTCTCCTCCTTCCCCGAAGCCCCCACCCCAGCCCCTCGCCTGCTCCGCCCACCCAACCCGCCCGCTCAAAGCCGCGCTTCCGCTCCCCGGGCCGAGCCTCACCTTGCTCCTGGGGGGTCGCTGGTGCTCCGCGCTGGCGTCCCTCCGGCCGTGGCCGCCCCGGGCCGGGGCTTGGTCCCTCCGAGGCGGACAGGGTCAGAGCTGGGGGTTGCTTCTCAGACGCGCTGCCGGCTCGGGCCAGACTCGGGGGATGCGTTGGGTCAGGCTGGCGCCTGTCGGACGCCGCCCCGCCACCAGGTGGCGCGAGAGGCCGGCTGGATGGCCAGCCCCGCCCCGGCCCCGCTCCGAGCAGGCTCCGCCCCGGCGTGGCCCCGCCCCCAGCCCGCCGTCGGAGCGGAGCCGGGATAGATGCTGGGACGCTGGGTGCGCGGCTCCAGCTCCCGCGCGGCGGTCCCGACCGTACCCGGAGTCGCAGGGAGTCGCCGCTGGAGAGGGGCTCGGCGCCCGGCGGGGACTGCAGGTGTGTGGCCGGAGTGCGGGGGCACGGAGGGCAGGCGTAGGGGCTCGAGGCAGAGCCGGAGCTGGCCGGGGACCGTCCGGGAGCTCTGAGAGGAGCCGCTGCAGCGGGTGGGCTGGACATCCTGCTGTCTTCCAGCTGCGTGGTAGGGTCCACTGCCGGGGGACGGGGTCCACACACACGCATTCCCAATAATCCCAGAGACAGAAGGGCGTCGGGGGGCCGTCCATCGTTATTTACGTGGCCACTGCTGGAAGCCTCTGTGCGGTCCGAGTGTGGCCGCAGCCTCCTGCTGCCTCCTTCAAGGCCGCCCTGTGTTGTGAGGTCGAGGGGTCTGCCCTGCGGCCCAGGAGCTCGCTCAGTGAGTGTTGGCGTGGCGGGGGGGAGCGGTTTAGCCATCAGGACCTCTAGCGAGCGTGGGCCCCCAGACAGTGGCTGCCCTTCCAGAGAACCGCACGCTCAGTGCTGTCAGAGGATCCGTGTTTACACCCTGGGTGTCTCTGCGTGTGTGCATGTGTGTGCGCCTGCGCCTGCGTGCTGGCCCATCCCAGGCCTGGGGTAAATAAGTAAGAAGTTCAGGTCAGTAGGAGGAAGGAGATTGTTCAGAGGGAAAAGGAAGACGAGATGAAAGCAGCAGGATGTGGTATCAAGTGAGTTACAAGCCTCTTGCAGAGAGGAGAGGTGGGTTTAGTTGAAATGAAGGCCAGAAGTAGGCCAGGTCTGCCTCCAAGGTCTCGCCTGGATCCCCTCCCCTTCCTCCCTCCCTGGATCTATCTTCTCATCCACACCTTCCTTCCTCCTGGCCTGGGGCCACCCAGCAAGGCACTGGTTCCCAGAGCTTCTTAAAACCCACGTTCTCCAGGTACCCCCTTACAGCACAGCTTTCCAGGGGTGGGGCCTGGAATCTGCATTTTAAAAAAAATTGAATAAGCTCCTTAAGGGATGACACTGGAGCTGTTGCTTGGGAACCTGCGTGATGAGGAGGGAGGCCTGAGTCCCAGCCGGGCCCAGCTGGGTGACCATCAGTATCTTCTGCCCTCTCCCAACCTGCTTCCTTATCTGTTAAATGGGCCCTAAAAGCGACCCCAGAGGGAAAATCAAATGAGAAAAGTGTGAGGAGAGCGATTTGGGAAGAATCGAGTGGAAGCTGTTTGGAGAGACTCCACAGTGGAGGCTGCAGAGGAGGGTGTCCATTGGAGGCTGCTCCGCAGTCCCAGGTTGGTCGTTGATCAAGGGCCTTCTGGCTGAGCAGCGGGAAGGGGATCCCCAGTCGCCTTTTGGCCTGGGCAGCCCAGAGCTGGAGGCCCCAGCTTGGATTCAGACGTGCCTTCAAGTCATGTGCTGACTTGGTCTTCCTTCGGAGAAGCTCACCTTAAGGCGCTGAGCTGGCCAGCCTGGTGGGACCTCTGTGAAGCAGAAGATTTGTTTGGCTCAGCTGTTTGGGGGCTGGAAGCCTGGATCAGGTTCTTAAGAGAGGAAGCTTCCAGAGGGACAGGATAGAGTGATCACCAGCAGTTCAAGGGGTATTAAGTTTGATTTTTGAACGTCTAGCATAGATGCAGAACAGAGGGGCAGGTGGTAGGAAAGACTACATCTGACTTCTGCCCAAAGGGAAGACACCCATACCAAACATATGTTACATATCAGGGCATTCCTTGAAGATATACATATTTTCCCATTTTAACAACTCTGAAATCAAGTTGCATCTTACTGTTGTAATAGGCAGTGATATTTCTTTCTCAGTGGTGCACAAAATGATGGTGTATCTTACAGTTCATGGCATCTTATTCAATTCTGTTCTACAGAATGGATGTTTTACAAACGTGGGGGATGCTTTAGATGTACACAGAATTACGTCATTCTCGTTAGTGAATTTGCACACATCACTTTTTCCAGTAGCTCTACCTTCTGAACACCGGAATTTTTCATTGTATCCAGTTTTAAAGGAAGTCTTTGTCAAATGTGTTGCTTGCCACTATAAATATGGCACATGGTGTATGATTTAACAATTTCTTGAAACTATCAAATGATTCTGCCTGCTGCTTGGTACCTTGAGTCTGCTCAGGACAAAATCTCTTCCATCTTTCTTTCTGTCCTTTTCCCCGTTAGCTGTCATTTCATGGTGTTGGGCAGCGGGCTAAGCACTTCATCTCCTTTCATCTTCGCAGCCGCACACTGAGGTTGCTACAGCTGTGATCCACATTTCATGTAAGGGGAAACCAAGGGCCGAGACAACACTGCTCGGAGCGCCGGAGCTTGGCTGCCTCTGGCCTCTGCTGTTGATCAGAGAGGACCCAGACTGGGTGGCAGCCTGCCTGTATCTGTGGGTGTGGAGCGCATGGCTTGTGGGGCATGACGTTGGGGGCCTGCACTGTGGCCGTCCTTAGGTCCTTCCCGTTTGCTTCTAGGCTAGTGGCTGGGAGGTTCTGGATAGTTGAGGTTATCAGCTATGTGACTTCCAGATAAGTGAGATACAGCTGTAGCAGGGTGCACTGGACAGGAGGGTGGGGGTGATGAGTGGGAAGAAGTGGGTGACTGGTGGCACAGAGCAGACGCAGGGTCCTTCCTGAGTCTCCTGGATCTGCCAGCGGGAATACTAGGCTTTGAACTTTAGAGTTGGCCTCAGTGGGAGACACCTGCCTCCTGCCTCCAGCTTCCAGCCTTCCCCAGCTCCCAGCGCAGCCTCTCTCCTGCCACCAAGGTGATATAAGACAACGAATCCGAGCAAGTCACTATCCAGCTGCAAACCCTTCAGAGCTTCCATTGCCCTCTGGAGAAGGTCCTTACTCCTCAGCATGGCTAGCAAGACCTCTCGTCCCCCAGCCCCAGGCCACTCCGCCTGCTTCTGCTCCAAAAGCTCGGACAAACCTCTGTGCCTTTGCACATGCTGTTCCTTCTCCCCACAATGCCCTTCCCTTCCTCTACCTGCCCAGGGACTGTGAATTCATCCTTGGATGCCCAACTGCAACCTCATCATCTCTGAAGTCTTTCCATCTCTCCCAAGCCCCTCAGTACTGGCCACCCTGTCCTTCTGTCCTTACCATGCCTTTCAGCTCCTACCAGAGCACCACCACTCTGGCCTGTAAGGTCTGACCGGTGAGCAGAGCCACCTCATGCTCAGTGCACCTGTTCAGCTGTGACCTTGAAACTCCCCAGGATCTCATAGGCGAGAAATCCATGCACACCCGCAGTGGAGGCTGCTGAGTGCAGGATGGTGTGGGGGGCAGGAGGGTGGGGTCAGGAGGGAGTGGTGCACTTTTCATTTTCGTGTCCTCCAGAGTCCCGCCACTGTTGTTATTGACCTAGGCAAATGAGTCTGTGTGGTTTCCTTGTGGAGGGGCAGGGCTGGGGTGTGACAGCTTCTGCCTCCCGTGGAGTCAGGGGGCCACTCCCAGCCCTGGGACCCTGGGTGAGTCCATGTGCATCTCTGGGTGTCAGTTTCCCCATCTCCCTGGAAGCGTGCATTAGGCACTTTCCGCGGCCCTTTCCTGACCCCCAGCATTCAGTTCTTTGGCTCAGCACCTCCGTACATGTGCCAGGCATGTGCTGGACTCTGAGGATCCTGAGCAAGACAGATCATGTTCCCGCCCTTGTGGAAATTAGTCTAGTGGGCAAGACACAAGACACATATTGTTTAATTATGGTCATGGGAACTGTGGGGTCCTGTGAGAGTATGAAAGGGAGCCTGAAATAGTTTGGGGGTTAAGGAGAGGCTTCCCTAAAGAAGTCACGTTGGAGTTGAGACTTGAGAGAGATAAAATTGAAGAATGTAGCAACACAAATAAAACACTGAGCAGACAGGTGCTAAGCGCTCTTGGGTGCACCCTCTCAGGTATTCTTTTCAGAAACCCTGTGGGGTGTGGGGCCTCCTCTCCTGTGAGAACCAGCTGAAAAAAACTTTGGCATAGACCAGGTGCTCATCCCCTGCCCCTCATCTCCTTCTTCCCTGCGCCCACCATACTCCAAGGTCCAGCCTTACAACATCAAGACCATCAGTGTTGGGGCACCTCCCCTTTGCTTTGCACTGATCTTCACCAGAGAGCATGTTCTGTTGCTGTGGCTGGGGCTCCTCTCAGGAGTCCCCTGCATTTGCGTTTTCACACTGGTCGTCAAGGGTGAAGGGACAATCCGTCCACAGAAGACCACCACGCTGTCTGCTGGGCCTTTCATTATGTCCTTGGGAGCTGCTGTTCTTGCAGGGTGAAGCCACCCTGATTTTCTGTATCCTCTACGAAGTCACCCGGGCAGCACCCACAACCTTCTTCTTCATCCCAAGTTTTCTTCCCAGAACCGTGAGGTCTCTGCAGACGTATCTCTGGGTTTGGGGTCTGAGTATTTGTTCCTGAATGGCTTGGTGGTTTTGCTCTTGTCAGGCAATTCTGCCCACAGCCACTTCCACACAGCCTGGCTGAGGCCACCTACCTCCTGGTGCATCTTCTGGGTTAGATCACATCTACACCTACAGCTCTTATGGGAGAGTTTCGAACTCTTTCTCGATAATGGGCCACTTTGAAAAACTGATAAAGTGATAGATCATCTCCTCCATCTTCCCCCACCCCCCCAAAAAGCTCACGCATGCATGCACACACACACTCTTTCTAAGTTTTGCATAAAACTTCAGGGTCTCTCTCAGACCTCTGCAGTCCATCAAGGAACCTGGTTAATAACCTCTGTTCTGGAAAACAGGACTTTGTCTACACCGATCTCTTTGGCTAACCCCCAGCACAGCTCCATGCAGGAGCCAGCTGTTGTCAGAGACAAGCTGGGGGTGATGATGGGTACTGGACCCCTGCAGACTGCAGAGGGGGCCACCAGTGGCTCGCTGGTGAGATCTGGGGGCGTCAGGCCGGGGGCCTAGCTCCCTGACCACTCACCCAGCCATCGCCATGTGCACACTTTCTGGGATTGTAATCAAGTCTTGAATTCAACCCATTTCCAAGGTGATTAAAGAGCATTACTTTGGCCTTCAAAGAAGCCCTCTGTTGTGACCCCTAGCCAGGGAA